AAGGTTACATGTACTTGAGAATATTTTGGGAGTATATGGGCTGGAAGGACCTGGCCACAAGTGGAAAACAGCCTCATGCAGAAGGGAGACCTCTCATTTTTTAAACAACAAGCTGCACAGACAATTGAACCATTGCCCCGTTTCCTGGGCTGTGTCTTTACTCACTTGAACAATCTTGTAAAGTGCTGAATTTTCGCGATAGCGTTGCCTGAGCAGCTTCATTATGTCTTGCATCATCACCTACAGAACAATCAGAGCACAAAGCAGACTGTTATCATGTGGTAAGGCAAGCACTGGGAAGTTTTATTTCTCATATTGGGTCAATCAGTAACAGAGAAGTCACTCATTTCAGGCTTTGGAGGAAGGTCCCATAAAAGCAACACAGGGCTTGAAAATGCTTTCTGCACTCGTGTGTTCCTCATCCAGCTGGACAATTCAGATATGCAGTGTGTGGCTGTGTATCATGGGATACAGAACCATTTAATTTTGGAAGGCTCCCACAAGGATCCTCAAGTCCAGCTCCCTGCTTCTTTGTGGAATAGCTTAACTCTTAGAAAGACCTGTTTTTTATCCAGTGCTGCTCTCATACCTAGGGTTGCTAGAGCTTGGCTTTCTACACCCCCAGCCCTCTCAGCTCAGAAGTTATCCAGTGTCATTGCTGACAGATTTTGAGCAGTGCCCTTAGTAGAAACAAACCTCTAAATGAATGGTAGATGCTGATGGCTCTTTTACACAGAAACATAAAATACCTTGGTCAAAGTATTATTCCCAAGTGGAATGTCAAAACCTTTAATTATGGCATCTGTTCTCTGTTGTATATCTTTCTCACAGGCATCAAACAGCTTCTGCAGTGCAAAAACAACAACTGATTACAGCATCAATCACAGTGAAAACAGAAGTGCAGTGTGCAAAGCATGTGCTGAGAAAACATCTGCTTTAGAGTAAATTGTAGGGCTGCTGATTGAAATATGTCTTCAATAGCTGGGAAACAAACTGTTTCATCGAGCTGCTTGCATTTTGGAGCCCATCCTTCAGCATCTGTGGGGCCTTATCATCACAATCAATGCTAATAATGGCCTCATCTCCTTTAAGGTAATACCACTTTGGTATTTTCTTTCAGATCTCTCCAGTATCACAGCAGTGAGTAAGACATCAAAATGAGGACTCCCAACTATCAGTTCAAGCACTAACATAAGCAAAGCATATTGTTTTCCCACTTGTGCTTAACAGGTGCAAGAGATGGGACTGGTACTTGAGTGTGTGTGCCCTTCTGAAAGGCAGGAGGAAGAAGGTCACTGTCACTTTGATCCCTACAGCATTCCACAGGCCTAGATGGGCTGGAAAATCAGAGACCTAAGCTTAGGCCCCAACCCTGTCTGATACAAAAATACAAATGCTCAAAGGCTGCTATATGGCTACATCATATTGATCTAATAAGAATGAGATGGAGAAAATGGATGTGAACAAACCTTAATGGCACGGCTGCCTTCTTTATATGTCCAACGGTGGGGCATGGAGCTCCTGACTTTTTCCCATTCCCGTAGCCGGAGCAGCTCATATCTGTCCAGCACAGCAGACAAACGTGAAGGGTCATTGATGTCCTCAGAGTGTTGGTGCATGACTATTGCTTTAGCCAAGAGCTCTTGGATTCTAGGTCAAGAAGGACATTAAAAAATGTATCCAAGTCAAGATGAAATAATGAGTGAATGTAAATATTTTACTTATGAAACTGTTTCAGGAATCCCATGTTTTCTACGATGCACTTCTCATTTATATTATAAATCTGGCAAGCAGCTTTTCTGTGGAAAATAGTGCTTGCTCAGCTCAGTTTTTCATGATCACAGTAGAATCTGACCAGAGTGGCATGTTGATGATGTCATTGTAGACTGGTTTATTTTAGTCTTTATTTAACTGGTTACCCTGAGAATGTCTTCTTCTCTTTGCAGAACAACCCATGCCATCTTCCAGAATTCAGTTACAAAGAGATGCTGGCAGGTTGAAAGTCTGGAGAGAAGGTGTCTAGGCTGTCTGGTCAGAAACAGAGTCCCCAAAGACTGGAGGAAGCAAGAAGTATGTGGCTTTTCAGTGTAGAAACACACACAATGTCTGAAATATTAATAAATACTTTACCTTGCCTCTAGCTTTTTGATCTTCTCTTTCAGCATCTTATTTTCCTCTTTCTCCTCATGCTGTATTTGGATTGCCCTTCCAGGAAGTGCTCTGAAACAGATTTGTGAGATCTCTTTATTTGTACTTGGACACTGGCACAACAGTGGACATGCCTCCATTGAATAATCTGAATTCAAGGAAAAAAGCTCTGAGGTGGGAAAATGCAAGAGCATCCAGGAAAAACTCCATGGGAGCTGAACACCTCCCCTAAAAGCTCCCACCCAGAATTTATGCTCAAATCAAGTGGGAAGTTATCTACAACAGAAGAAACAGAGGTATGGTTGTGAGGATTGTCATGATTTCCCCCTCTCACAATGATTATTAATATAAAGAATCACACCACCTGTTGTGACTATCCAGAAGGTGAGTACAAATAGTGTCAAAGAAACTTCTGTTCTCATTGTGTATCCATCTATAAGGGGAAGAAAGAAAGAAATAATAAACCACAATGCAATCAGTGGGCAAGTATGCAATAAAGTCTTTAAAAAATGCACAAGCTAAACTTCCTCCCTCCAATTTCTGATCAGCCCATGGGGAAAAGAAATATAGAGACCAAAACTTGTCAAGGCTGTTCTTTGCCAGAGGGGTGGTTTGTGATTCTGTGAGTCAATACCAACAGTACAAATAAAATACTCCCAAAGTATAAGATCTGCATGTTACATGGTGCAAATCCAACAGCTTCTGTAAAGTGGCCCTGGGTTCCCAGTACAGCCTGGGCAAAATTTGTTGCTAATGCAGAGCCCTCCCTGTGTCTGGCTGATTTGTAATTTTCTGTCCCAGCCACCCTAGTGTGCACCAGCTACAGTTCACTGTCAAAGGCCACACTAAACAGTGTCATTTCTGGTCACTGGACTCTCACATTATTTTGTTGTCCATTGCTTTCAGAAATTCATCTCTTTCCTTTGTGTTCTTATTGTCCATTTCTTTCATCATTTCAAATATTTCCGCTTTTTGTTTATTGTTCACCTCTTCCATCATTTGCAACATTTCCTTTTTGTATTTATTGATGATCTCGTCCATTATTTCAGGCATTTCCTTCATGTTGGAAGTCTGGTCTCCATAGGCTGATGGCTTCTGTGAGGTGTCAGATGTATGTCTGAGGGAAAAAAGAAAAGGGAACTCTTATAATGAAGGGTGGTAAGAACACATCCTCAAAAGAAGTACTTTATAATAGCCAGTCCTGTGTGCAGAGGCTTCGTGGCTACATCCGTGCCCGCAAGCAGATCAGAGACAGGACAAAGGGTGCGCAGGGGCACAGGCTTGGCACAAGTGAGTTAGCACTCTCCCAGATAATGCCTGATACAGCTCAGAGGACTCCACAGGCCAGGGCATGCCAAAACCAGGAGAGTTTGACTAATCATTAGTTCTGGATAAAGTGGGCAAGATACAAGGACAGCTTCTGAGAAACAAACTCAACCCAGACCTGCAGAGAGTGGGGAACAGCAAATGCAGGTAACTGTTCTTTAACTGTTCTGCTAAAACCAACTTTGCAATTTACAAGTGTGGGTTATTTTAATAGAGGAGTACAAAACTCTGTGTTCTCAAGGAAATTTTTTATTTGTACAACTGCTCTGTGTCCTGTTTCCTCACGAGGATCCCAAATGTCAACTATTAACTGTACAGAGACAGTCCCAGATTAAGGTGCTCCTGCAGCTTGGATCCAGGTGGAACAGAGACCAAGCTTGTCCCTGCAACCAGATGTCAGAGAAAGCCTCAGCATGAGGCTTTACCTTTGTTTTATGCCAATAGAAGGCTGCACTGCTGCTGCAAGGGACTGTGCTGCCCCTCCACCTCAGCATCACTCCCTCCCACTGAAGTACATTTTGGTTTTGTTTACTTGGATTGGTTCCTTTCCAGTTAAACAATTTCAGTTTCAGTCTTTCACTGAACACACCATCTTTTTCTTTAAACTCAACAATCCAGTAAAAAATTTACATTTTAGTCTGCCTTTCCCTGCAAAATTGATGAGCTCAGAGTCAGAGACATGAAATCTCAGATCTTGTCACACTCTTTATACTGTTCTTTCTAGTGTCTCTTCCTCTTGCACCACTTTAAGATCTGCCTCACACTTTGGAGTTGTTCTTGAGCTGAATTTGGGGACAGTAGCCATCTCTGTGATGGCTGGAAAGGTTAGGAAGTAGAAAACAGAGCTCTTACTGAAGATTTCACAGTCAGAAAATGTTTGCAATTCAGCACTCATGCAACCCTTCAGGAAGCTTCCTAGAAATTTTCAGACCTAGGGAAATTAAAGTTTACCCAGAGACACCCCCTGTGTAACCTACCTGCTGCTTTGTGCAGTCATCTTGCTGGGATCAGTGTCCTCATGCTGACCTTCCAATACTTCTGTTCTTCTGTTGCCAGAAACATTGTGTGTGTGCTGTGATTCTATTCCTCTGCAGCCAGAAATGTCGTATGTACTCCACATTGCTCCTTGAGTGAAGCCAGAAATATCAGGTGTATCAGACATTTCTGTTCTTTTGGAGCCAAAATCGTTGCCTGTATTCCACATGTTTCCGTTGCTGGAGTCAGAAACATTTGATGTATTCATGCCTTTACAGCAGCAGCAGCAGAAGCCGAAAATGTTTGTTGAAATGAGTGGGCAGCCCTGAGGACTGTCGATGCTGCTGGGAGTGCAGAAAGCTACTGATAAGAAAGTTCCCTAACAAAGGCACTTTGCTGTTAAATAAAAACCAGAAGGAAGCCCTGCCTCTTTACAGGAAAAGTTACCGTTTACAGTATGTCTAGAGTCACATTTCTCTCTGGCCAATAAAAGCAGGGGAGGTTGCCCCTCCCTGTGCAATATCAGTGCTTTCAGTTTCAGTCCTGTCCCATCCCGGTTCACCCTTTCTCTGCTCCCAGAGCTGCGCTCCTCTGCACTGCAGTGGCCATGGCCAGCCAGTCAGTCTTTGTTGTTGCTATAGATTTTGGCACATCCTACAGTGGCTACTGTTTTTCTCTTGCTTCAGGTACAGACCAAATCCGGCAGGTTAACTGGGGAATAGAGCATGGGCTCAAGACCCCAAAGACGCCTACGTGCATTTTGTTCAACCAGAAGCAGGAGTTCAAATATTTTGGCTATGATGCTGTGATGAGGTACAAGAGCCTGCCCTCCAGCCAAGCTGACAGCTGGTACTTCTTCGAGAACTTCAAGATGCAGCTGTACAACACGGTAGGTGGGCGAGTTACCACTAGTGGGGGTTGGGGCTCTTCATTTACATGAGGGGTGGGGCTTAGAGAATCCATGAAGAGGGCTGAGTAAATCTGGTTGATGAGGATGAATTTTGATGAACAAACGAAAAATTATTTATTTTTTTAATTGCTGAAAGCTTCACAGGTCCTTCCTTTATGATGTTTTTTATTTGTCTAAAGACAATAACAACCTGACTGCATACCCTGGGTGAAGGCAACTATCTGTTCCTAACAAAAAGCTGCGCTGTTCCCGAGTTTGACAGAGAAACTGGTCTCCCTTTGGGACTCCTTACCTTAGTCCTCAACAAGAAACAGGGATCAAGTGAAATTTCCTGTAATTCAGAGGAGATGGGCAGTTTTGGGATTATCTCAAATCCCGTCCCGTGTTACACAGCTCCCCCTAGCTCTCCCTCCCTTGAAATGTTACTCTGCAGCTAATGTAAGGGTGTCTTTGAAGCCTGCAGTGGCTTTTATCAGATTTCTCTCTGAAGGCTCTGTGCTGGATCAGAACAGTTCACAGCTTTATCTGTGTTTGCTTGCTCAGCCAAACACCAGGCTGCCTTAGGGCCTTCCTTTCTGTGCTCCAGGGTCCCCCAGGGCCTCTCAAGTGTAGAATAAACCAGAGCACAAGGCCAGTCCCAGGAAAAGCACCAGGTCCTCTCTTTGGTCGATGGGAGGCTTCTTTGAAGATTTTCCTCCCCAGGACAGCTGGGAATGATGTGGTCTGTCACAATGTCACCTCTGGAGCAGTTGGTTCTCATTTGCTTTCAGCAGGGGCTGGAGAGAGGTTTTAGATCAGAACTATTTCTCTGCATCTGAGGAGCAAATGGTGAAGAAAAATTTCATTACAGAATCACTCCCCACTGTATCTTCAGGAATCCACAGGATCTACAGTCTTTACAAAATTTGGCCTAGGAGAAACAGGGGAATTGTCAACCATATTGACATTTTGCCTGCTGCATCACAGGCAAGGTGGGTAAGCAGTTTGGTAGCTGACCTGTCCCACTTGGACTCATTTAGCCACAGTAGTAAAGCCAGTGCTGGGAGTTTACTCAGGTTTGGAGACAAGGGTGTCTGGGTGCCTTATGTTGTGCAGTGCTTGGTGTGAAGGGGACGGGTCTCATGTGACCCTGGGCCTTTTCTTTTGTAGAGTGTCACAGCTGGCATGCAGCTGAAAGCCACCAATGGAAAGACACTTCCTGCTCTGACAGTCTTTTCTGAAAGCCTGTGCTACCTGAAGAAACATGCTTTGAATACCATTAAGGAGGCCTCTTTCCAAACTGTCTATGATCCAGAGGAGATCACCTGGGTCCTTACTGTCCCAGCCATATGGAGCGCTGCTGCCAAGCAGTTCATGCGTCTGGCAGCAAAAGAGGTAAAAGCAGGGGTTACTCCATTTCCACAAATAACCTTTGGAGGTTTCTTTGCCCATTGAGGCAAGGGAACTCCTCAATATGTAAACAACCTGTATTTCAAATTTCAGTCCATTGGGCAGAGAAATCTTCCCTATTGAGGGTGATGAGGGAGAGGATGTCCCCAAATGGCAGTAACAACAGCTCTGCCCTCTCCCACCACCGCCATGTAGAAATGAGCCCCACAGAGATCAGCAGTGCTAGAACCAGCACTCCTGCATGAGCTATGAGCTGCTGGGGTGAGAACAGTCTCCTTAGCAGGTGGTGTTCATGCAGCGGAAATCTCACACCCTTGCCTTGAACTAACTCCTCTCTCTTGTGATTTTAGGCAGGAATTATCTCTGACATGCTCTCTAGGAACCTGATCATTGCCTTAGAGCCAGAAGCTGCATCACTGTGGTGCAAGCAGCTTCCACAGGAAGGGTTTATGGCAGACAGCAGTGACAAGAGGAAGTTTGAAGACTCCCCTGGGATCCAGTACATTGTCGTTGACTGTGGAGGTAAAATTTTCCCCGTTTAACAGGTACCATCTTTGCTGGCCGTGGTGCATGGCTATTTCAAAATATGGCCAAAGCTCCCAGAGCTTGGACTCCACTGGTGTGCCCATCATGGGTTTTTATGTTTATTTCTCACCTAATGAGATCCTGTAAGCAGGCAGAAAAATAGGAGGAAAGTGGGAGTGTGTCTGACACTGCAGTGCTCTTCAGCCAGATGGTCACAACACGAGGTCCTGCCCTCGCACCAGATCAGCTGGCACGATGTCCCAGCATCAGCCACCAGCACGCACCACGTGCTCCTGTGTAGCCTGAGCTCACAGCCTTGTCTCCAAAAGCAACTGTAGTTAGTGCCCAGTGAAGTGACCAAAGAGATGAGCTAGCAGGCACTGGAGAGTAAATTATTAAGAATATTTGATGAAGCACTTCTCAATAATTTCTCTAGTTTCCTGAGATTTTTTGGTGTGATGTGAATTTTCTGCCAAGAGCAGTCTGGTGGTTGTGAACAAATAGCAAAAAGGCATCAAGAGGACCATAAGTTCTTGGGAGTCTTCTCACCACTGCTCAGGAGCCAACCACCTATGTAATCAGACAGGAGATTGGCATCAGTGAGCAAGTCAGAGCTTCCAGCTTTTATCAGAAATAACTGTAGGAGCCTTGTGAGACCAGGCTTTTAAACAAAAGTTTAAATTTTAAATTGAAGTTTAAATTTTTAAATTGAAGAAATCTAGAGAAGTACAGACAATAGCAGAAGAGTGAGGATGAGGAAAAAAAGCAGCAGAAAAGCACATCTGTGAATCGGGAGTTCAGAAGATGATTGAATTCTGTGGAAACTCATGTACTTTAAAGCAACCATTGCAATTAAACTGAGTCTCTTTGTGTGAATGTGTGTGTGTAGGTGGCACAGTAGACATCACAGTACATGAGATCCAAGAAAACCATTACCTAAAGGAGCTACACAAGGCAGCTGGAGGTGGATGGGGAGGCAACAGAGTGGATGAAAACTTCATCAATTTCCTCAAGGAAATATTCAATGATGGCATATGGGATGAATATGTAAAGAAGCACCCTACTGAATTACAAAGTATGATGTACAACTTCAGCCTACAGAAATGCTCTGATAGAAGGGAGGCAGTCTACATGCATTGCTACTACAACTTGACCAAAGTGGCAGAGTCCAAGAAGGACATCTCCCAGTTCTTTGAAAAAGCAGCAGGAGCTGTGTGGTGTGATGGGACAATCAAGATTACATATGAGAAAATGAAAAGCTTTTTTGAGTATAGTATCAACAATATAATTTGTACTTTGAGGGAAATTCTTTGCAAACCTGAGATGGACAAAGTCCAGTACATTTTACTTGTGGGAGGCTTTGCATCCAGCATCATCCTGCGAGATGCAGTCAGGCAGGCCTTTAGCAGCAAGTATCACATCCTTTGTCCCATGGAGGCCCAGGTGGCCATTGCAAAAGGGGCTGTTTTATTTGGAATTAATCCCCGTATCATTACCTCAAGAATCAGCTGTAGGACATATGGCTTAGAAATATGTCAGAAATTTGATGATGCTATCCATGATGCCCGTAAACGGAGGGTCTCAAAAACTGGTGACTATATTTATTGCACAGGTCTCTTCTGCAAACTGGTGGAAATTGGGGAATCAGTGAACATACAGGAAGTTGCCCACTATGATTTCTATCCGACAGAACCAGATCAAACAAAGGTAGCCTTTGCTTTCTATTGTACAAAAAAACAGAATGCTCGGTATGTAGATGAGGAAGGGATGGAACAGCTTGGCTTCTGTGTAGTGCCATCGCCAGACACGAGGCTGGGGAAAGATCGCAAGCTGAAGGTGGCGATTAAATTTGGGCTCACTGAATTTGAAGCCACATGTACTGATGTTACTTCCCAACAAAGTCAGACAGTTATAATAGATTTTTTATCTTATAATTACTCCTCATATTGAACAGATCTTAGATGTCTTTCCAGCCATTATGATTCTAACAATTCTATGACTTCTACAATAGAGGAGACAATTGGACCAATAAGTCCATCATGCAACTTTCTATTTACACAGGATAACTACAAGTCTGATTCTCTGGTTCCTTCCATTCCTCACCCACCACCCTTTCAGTCCAACACCTCATTTTCTCTTGTATCTGATAACGTGTTTGCTGCTTTATCTCATGTCCTTTTAGCTTGCATCTCTGTACACAGCACTTCATACCACCAATACAATCATCTGTGACCTACCTGTGTTTGATGCAAAGCCTCTGGACTGGGTTCTAACTTCCACATAAAGCAGCCCATAGCTGTTTATTTTAGCCTGGTGTCTTCTTGCAGCTACATCTTCTGACATCAGGTCACTTTATCTGAAGTCCAGGTTTAATTCTGCTGGGGGTGACATTCAGTGGATTTCTCTTTTCTTCAGAATATCATTTTTATAAACTCTGTGTAATTAAAGTTCCAGGGTCCCAGACAAGAGAGCTGAATGAACCAGTCTAGGGACTTGTGTCCAAAACCTGTGGGAGTGTTGTTTCCATTAAATGATTGGGTGGTTTGATCTCATTAATTGGGCAGATATGAATGCTAGATTGTAACTTTACAGATATGAATAGTGCATATGCTGCTGCCTGATGACTCTGTCCAGCTCAGACAGACATCTGCTGCTGTCTGATGCTCTCTGCATCTCTGATTTGGGCATGATTATTTTCTACATCACCTCCTCCTGCTTGCATCATCTGTGCAGAAGTCCAGCACAGTGTAGGCTTCCTGGGCCTAAATTTGTCCAAGAAAAGGGTGCAGTCCTACAGTGTGCTGGCTCTGGCTGAGGTGGAGTTAACTTTCTTCATAGTGACCCTTATCTTGGTGTGTGGTTTGGGTCCAGAATGATGCTGATAACACACTGATTGTTCAGGGGTTGTGAGTGGTGGGCTGGGGTTTGTGGAGTTGGCTTTCTTCCCCTCCACTAAGGATGTAAAGTTTCTCTGCTGAACACCAGCCTCCACCAATGCAAATTCTTGGTTAGCTGGATACCATGCAAGAAAGCTCAGCACTGTCATCCTTATTAGTTGAATGATTGCGTTAGAGTTACTGCTGGCCAGGTACTGAATGTTGTTAATCACTAGAGCAGCATTCAGAGGACTAATCTGCATATATGCTATGTCCTATGATATGTAAAAGTGGGATTTTGAAGTTACTACCTTTGCTTTCACATTTAAAATGTTATGTATGCAATAAAAATATTCACAGCAGACACCTGTGTGCATTTCTACCATGTCAGGTGGTATGCTTTGTAAGGGCCATTCTGGGGGTTAGGTCCGAAGAAGCTGTGTAGTCCTGCTTTTTTCTTACCCTTTGCATTTGGTATTTTCACCAGTGGAAAGCCCAATACAGCTCCACCCAAGTCCACCAATGCTCTGGAATGGGAGAGAGAAGTAGGGTCTGGGAAAGTGGCAGCGGGGAAAGCCCTTCCCACCCATGTGGTAGGTGGGCTTTAGGATTCAAACATTGCCAATGGCAGTCGTGAGTGCAGCTCCTTGTTCTGCTGGTTTTGATGAGCTGGTTTTGTTGATAACCTCAGACACTGAGCATGGGCAGATGCAGGTGTTTGTCCTTTCTGTGAAAGCAGCACTGAGTGTCAGGGTCTCGGGCTAAGCACCCCTGAAACCTGTCAATATGGGGGGCTCTACCCTCAGCCTGACACTACCAGGGGTGTGGGAAAATAAGCTACAGCTGCTGAGCCCCTGGCAGCCATCCTCTGAAACAGGTGCATCTGCTGAGCTGGGGATTAACCCCACTGAACAATAAATAGTGTGGGTTGTTTATGGTAAAAATCACAGATCCCCAAGTTTCAAGGATAAGAGAAGGCAGTGAGATTTGCAGTGGCTGTAACCAGGACATCGATAAGCTCTAGGGCTGTGATGGCTGCTGGATCCTAAATGGCTGGGTGAGTAGAAGGTACCACCCACTTCTGTGGCTGGATCTTGCCAACTGCCTTCTGCCTAAAGCATGTGATTTCTCGGAAACTGAGAGAAAGTAGTAGAGACACCATTTCCTGGCAGCGAAGTGGGAGGCACATCCTCTCTCCCCTGGCTGGGATGGAGATGGGAACAGCTTGGCCACAGCCCAAACACCGTGGCTGTCCTTTCTGCTTCAGATTTCCCAGCGCCATCTGGCTCCCCGGCCTCACCCTGCCTGCTTGATGTCGGAGGAAAATAAAGATTCACAAAAAGTTCACAGTAACTCTAAGCCTTGAAACCATGACAGTGGGATGCTGGAGTAATGGAACCATGAAGAAACCCCAGGAACAGAATGCTGTAAATCCTTATGCCCTTGACAAGTAATGATTCAAATAGATTCAAGTAGAAATGGCAACAGAGGTTTAACAAAATAAAGTTTAACAATAACTTAGCAACAGGTGACAGGATGTAAAGACAATTTCAAGTTACCTGAGATGATTATAATGTTAAAGAACACATTCCCAGGGGAATTTGTATGTGGAAATGATAGGATAATGAACTGGACTGAGATCAGCACATGCACATTAAAAATTTTTGTTACACAAGTGTGAGTGGCCAATCTCCTGATTCTTTTTTGGTTACTTTTTTGTAAAAAGGATTCTGCTTGTTTTCCAAAAGGTTGGAAAAGGCTTGGCCTAGCCTGGCAGCCTGTTCTTCGGATTTGTAATAAAATAATGTCTCAACTCAATTGATTGGCTTTTGCACACCAGGATTCCCTTCTTTAGGGATAACAACCTAACATCCTGAGGAGCTTTTCCCCATATTAGAAAATAGGTCTCTTCATACAATAGAAATTATGATTGAGAGGATTCACTTCCTTTGGCATAATAAAACAAACCATGGGAGAGGAAAAATAAATGAACCAAGCACTCATCCTCTTGCCCACGTGTGGGGAATGTAATGACTTCATCATTAAACAGCTCATTTTTCATAGCTCTTCCATTTCCAGGCCAAAATAAACAGGTTTCTGGAGCTTTTTGTTTTCAGTTTCTAGAGATTGCTGAGATGTAGCATAGATGTGTATAGCCCTGAGGGGTATATTAGATATGAGCTCACTCTATCTATCTATCTATCTATCTATCTATCTAATCTGTCTCTAATATGATACATATTAGAGATGTCAAAACTTTATGTGGGATTATTGTGTTCATCATAAAAGGACTTGACAAATCATGCAAGGGGAAAATAGAAGATAACTTTCCAAAACAGTAAAAGTAACACCAGAGGATGGACGAATAGAAAAGCATGTCACAGAGAGAGCATAGCGACATGCTTGAGGGAAGACATCATTGCTTTGTCTGGTCAGGGATTGCACTGTGCTGCTGACACTTGGCTTGGTCCTAGACAAAACTGACCCAATTGCACCCCAGAACTGGACCAACCAAGTAATATTAGGGTGCCTGCATGGAAATGTGTTTAAAAAAGGGCAGGGAACACTGAAAAGGGGGGAGACAAGTCCGGGCAGGTACAGTATCCACAAGGATGAGGACTGCAGCAAGAGCAGTTGAGCACAAGGCGGAGCAAGAGCAAGGGACACCCACACACCAACCCCAGCTTGTGCACCCCCCATGGTCTCACCAAAGGGTCTGGCTGTAACCTGCAGCATGGGGTGGGGAAATAGGACAGGGAGAAGTGAGGCATCGAAGTGTTGGTTAGTTGGTTTGTTCCTTGGCAATAAATTAATTCAATTGAAATTTCTCAACTCAAAATAGGTATTTTCTGTCCAATGACAGGATGTCTGACTGTATATCAAGGGATAGAGCCTGTTCATAGTGCAATGCCCCAGAGGAGCGTGGGGGAGAGCAGAGAAGTCTCCTAGGGAATCCTAGAATGTTTAGGATTGGAAGGGGCTTTAAAGATCATCTAGTTCCAATCCCTCTGCCATGGGCAGGGACACCTTCCACTAGACCAAGTAGCTCAAAGCCCCATCCAGCCTGGCCTTGAATTCTTCCAGGCATGGGATATCCACATCTGCTTTGCAGGTTTCTATCAGACTGCTCTTTCTTTGCTGTGTGGTAAAAAGGGAGAGAGAGGCAAGTGGGCAGAGATTTAGTGAAGTCATTTGAGGCCTCCCTCAGCAGCAGTGGGACACAACCCCACCAAGACCAGTCTATCTCTAAGTTTGCAGCCAGCACTTTCCTTCTGCCCTGGGGTATCAGGCTGGTTTTTCTCCACATGCTGCATATTTTCCCCTCACACCTGTTCCTTCCCTCCTCTAAACCACCCCAAACAATATGAGGTTTTGTCTGCCCTCAGCATCCAGCAGCAGTTTCTCAAGCCCCTTAGCCCTTATTTAGCCTGTGTGCCCTGGACTTAAGCAGAACATTCCTGCCAGAGGTTAAGCCCAGGCATTGCATGGATAATCCACAAAAACTTTTTGCCTCCAGTTCCAAGTGACTGTGACTATAACAAGTCCAGAGATGCTGTCTGCAGCTCCACCCTGGCCCTTCTTTGGCCCCTTATCTCTCTCCCAGGCAGTCAGGGCTCAGAGATAGGACAGAGATGGCAGCTGCAAGCCAAGAGGGTTAGAAAAGTGAAATGGCCTGGCCTGACTGTGCTGCACCGTTTATATCCGGTGCTAAAATGAAGTGGCTTTGCAGGGCACCGTGGCCAGGAATGCTGTGCCGCGCTGCCACCACCATCCCTGCAATGCTGTCATTTTCAGCCTCCCACCCTCATGGGACCAAGGCTGGAAGCAGCTGTGGGGTGAGCCCCTGTTAAACCAGAGGGCTGCGGGGAAAGCAGTGACCCTGGTGTGAAGGCAGGACTGGAGAGAGTTGCTGGAGCTAGAAACAGGATCTTTGACTGAAGGACCAAAAAATGCCAGGGAGAGGGGATGGCAAGGCACCACAGTGCCCTCAGCACAGCAGCACTCTTGGGAGAAAACCAGGAAAATTAGTGCTTGGGCAAGGATCACCTTCAGGAAAGAGAAGCCAAGCACTGGCTTTGGCAGAGGTGAGGGGTGAAGAGAATTGATCTTTTTTTTTCCCCACTGAAAACTGCCTTTTTTCCCTTCTCTCCTCAGACGGTGAGACCTTTGCTTTGGCACCTGACCTACGACTACAGGGCTAGTCCTCCTTCTCATGTGGTTAGTTTCTTTCCTGATTAAAAGTGATTAGGTAGCTCTAAAACCTGCAGAAATGTGACAGAGGGGAACAGAGACAAAGAGACCCTTCAAGATCTCTTAAATCCCCAGGGCAGTATTTAGAGAGCCCTGAGGAGAACTGGAGCAGAAAGACCCTGCCAGGACCTCCCTGTCCTTCTCCTTCCTGCTGCAGCCTCCATTGCCAACATCTCCTCCACATGTCGCTCTCTGAAGCAGAGGTGCAAAGTGCCCGTGGTGCCTGGGAGAAGATATATGTGGATGCTGAGGACAATGGGACAGCTGTGCTGGTCAGGTAAGGAAAGAGCCCATCCAGCTGCTGCCCCGCAGGGGTGAAGGAGGAACAGCAAGGATGGCGTTACTGCTTAGGAGCATGTCTTGATGTTTTTCATGCAGCCCTTGCTAGGAAGAGGAGCGATCCACACAAGGAAAAATGAAAAAGAAAGGGGTAAGGGGGTGGGAAAAGAAGAAGAGACAAGAACAATATCTTCATCCATAAGGTAAAGGAAAGAAAGTGTGGTATGAAAGAGAACAGGAACAAAACATGGGCCTTATTTCCATCTACCTCTACCTCTAAACTCTTTTAGTGCTCTTTTTAAACTCAGTGTTTCACTTCTGATTCTCCTTCAGCCTCAGTCCATCTGTTTCACTGTATTATATCCTTTCCTCTCTTAGCTTTCATTCTGTTTCCCTATCTTCTGTTCACTTTTCACATATTCCACTCTCATCTGGGACTTCCATCACTCCATAAGCATGGATCAGTTCAAATACTATTTCTGGTTATCAGACCTTTAGCCCTCTCTCCAGCTTTCTTGTATATCACACCTTGTGCCTGGATTACCCTCATGAGCCCCTCACCTTACATGCTGCTCTTTCCTTCTACAGGCTACACAACCTGAGCACAGTTAGGGTCCAAAGTGCAGCCATAAAATGTTGCTAGCATCCAGTAGCTTGTCTCCCCGGGGTAATTTACCCTAGAAGGTTTTGCTTTAGTGTCCTACAGCCCCAGACCTGCCTGTAGAGAAGTTCAGGGTTTCCCAGGATGGGAGAGACATGGCCATACTGGAAAGAGTCCAACAAAGGACCAGGAAGATGATGAGGGGACTGCAGCATCTCTCCAATAAAGGCAGAGAAAGCTATGACTGTTCAGCCTGGAGAAGAGAAAGCTCAGAGGAATCTTAGCAATGTGTACATAAAAACCTGAAGGGAGAGTGCAAAGAAGGCAGAGCCATGCTCGTCTCAGTGGTGCCACAAGACAGGACCAGAGTCAATGTGTTTCAAATTGAAACACAGAACAAGGTTCCCTTGAACATCAGGAAAGACTTCTTTTACTTCTGAATGCAACTGAGCACTGGCACAAGTTGCCCAAAGAAGTTGTTGAGTCTTCACACGTGTAGATAGTCAAAAGCCATCTGGCCATGGTCCTGGGCAACTGGCTTGACCAGTGGTGTTGACCCAGGTGGCCTCCAGAGGTTCCTTCAAACCCAACCATTTTGTGACTCTGAAATGCAATGTAGAATTTGCTATGGATATTTCAGATAGATAAGCAGTTTATCCAATAGAGTAAACTGCTTCTTTTTAAGAGTTTGACCAAGATTACTGTAATTGATCAAAGATAATTTCAAACACACTGAATTGTGTTACTTTTGAATAAATTACATGAGCAGTACCCTATACTCAAGCAACAATCCATCATAGTCAGGAAGAAAGCTTTGCAGTGGACAATAGGAAGGGGTTAATTAACAAAACCAATAGTAGGGTTTCTCTATGAAGACATCCACCGGTATCACAGTGGTCATATCTGCTGTCCAGAGCATCTTTGGGAATATTGAACTGTCACAGTCACCCCATGTGAACCTGCTCCCACTTCTCTGTGAAAGTAACACAGCGTTAACACTGACAAAATATTAACTTTAGAAGCAGTGGCATAAGTTCATTATAGGTTTTAACATCAAAGGAGCAAAGGAAATACCCTGGGCAGAGGCAAGGGAGAGAGGATTGGCTGCTACGTGCATGGGGGTTATGCACAAGTGCAAAAGGCAACAGAGAAACAAGGAATGCAGAAGTGTCTGTTCTAATAAAGAGACGGGGAAAAGGGACATAAATGCATAAGGCAAGGCTGGAATGTGTGGCCATGTCTCATTGATAGCTTGGTCCACAAGTCAGAATGTCTCTCATTCCTCAACAGGATGTTTACCGAGCACCCAGACACCAAGTCCTACTTCACACATTTCAAAGGCATGGACTCTGCTGAAGAGATGAAACAGTCAGATCAAGTCAGGGGCCATGGCAAGAAGGTTTTCAGTGCCATCAACGACATGGTGCAACACCTGGGCAACTCTGAGGCTTTTCTTGGGATA